GAACTGGTGCATTCGTTTTAGATATCCTCTTCTTGTTGGACTTGATCTGTAGTAACAGATCATTATTTCTTTGTTTTCCATCACTGTGTATCTGCGACGGGTAAACACCTTTTCTTCCAGTAGTTCTGCAGCTGCTGGCCCTGGTTGCTCAGCCAACAATCCTAAGTCCTGTAACCAATTTTTCACCAGATATCCAGGAACTCCAATATCTAGCGTGGACCTTGTTAACCCGGGCAACATCCGAGCCGGTATGGCATTCTGAAATTTACGTCTCACCATATTTTTTATGGAAGAGACACTCTTTGTCTGACTCCTCTGATGAGACCTGTCCAGTGAGGTTGAACCTCTGGCATAGCTCTCATCTTCCTCAGAGTACACAAGCTCCACAACCACATCAATGTAGTGCCTCACTGGGGGATTATTATTATTAACCCCCAGTGAGGCACTACCTTGACGTGGTTGTGGGGCTTGTGTACTCTGAGGAAGATGAGAGCTATGCCAGAGGTTCAACCATATTGGACAGGTCTCATCAGAGGAGTCAGACAAAGAGTGTCTATCCCATAAAAAATATGGTGAGACGTAAATTGCAGAATGCCATACCGGCTCGGACATCGCCCGGGTTAACAAGGTCCGCACTAGATATTGGAGTTCCTGGATATCTGGTGAAAAATGGGTTACAGGACTCAGGACTGTTGGCTGAGCAACCAGGGCCAGCAGCTGCAGAACTACTGGAAGAAAAGGTGTTTACCCGTCGCAGATACACAGTGATGGAAAACAAAGAAATAATGATCTGTTACTACAGATCAAGTCCAACAAGAAGAGGATATCTAAAACAAATGCACCAGTTCTGGAAAGAACAACATCCAGAATCAGAAATAACAGAACAGAGACTAGCAGATCAACGCCGATTTATAACACGAAATAAAGTATTCACAGAAACAGAATTGGACAAACTGCAAAGGTTTAACCAAGGCAAAGAAATCAAAGCCTTACCAGAAGTAATTCACAATGTAGAGGCAAATCAGGGGGAGTTGGCAGTGAAGGAATCCAGCAGAGATATACAACTGTTCTCATTTGGAAACCAGGCACCTCTTCCTCAGGAAGAACAAAACCCTCTAACTAAAGAAATAAAAGAATTGAAACAAAGAATAACTGAGCATCTAGATATTAAAATATCATGCTAGATATTTTTGACAAGGGTTCTTTTTCTTTTTACATACAAAATAAAAAAATAGAGGAACAATATTGTTAAAATTAAACTTAGCAGGTTTTATATATGATCAGATTAATTCTTGTGTAGCAACAGCCACATGAAAAAATAGGAATCTACAAGGCTACATTCAACAGCTATATTCTAGCACCTGACTAAGAGAGATTTATAAATAAGAATCATGCCTAAACCAGTTTTGATTCTCATCTACAGTGGAAAAATTTTAATGTGAATCTCTTGAATTCAATCACATTAAAAAAAAACCTGAAAGGTTTCTTTCAAAAGAGTACTTGCTTTCCACGCAAGGATCCTTCTGGGTGTTCCATAAAGTGGAGAAAAGGCAATTCAGGATATATAGTAGACACAAATTCTCCAATGATTATACCATTGGAGAGGACAGGGAAATTAAGCTTAAAATGTCTTTTGTCACCACACATGGGGTTAAAGGTCTTGCTGAAAGAAGCCTGGAGGATAAGGACAGAGAGTAGAAACACATGGCAAAGTCTGTGAGTCCTTTTGAATGCCAAAGGAATTTGGCTTCAATCACAGCAGTGCAGGCACATATTCATCACAGCACTTAGCCTGCAACAATGAAAGAGAGTCTCTTTATGCATAACTAAAGTTGTAGATTACAATAATTATCAACTGAGTGATTCATAATGCAACCTACTGAGCCTCATGAAGTTGTTGTTAATAGTAAAGTTAAACTGTTAAGTGTTTAAGTGTTCTGTGCTTTCCCCCCAAAAGAAGTTTAATTAATTAATTCTGACAATTATGAGGTAGTCAAACCCCTTTCCCAAAGCTACTCAACTATTTTTCCAGTTGAAGAAATTGTATGTTCCAAGCCCATCTCTTGGCTACTCCTCATCAAGCAAGCAAGAAATGATCTTGGGGTCATAACAGATTTGGGGAACCGAGTCTTGCTTTCCCTATCCAAAGAAAGCAATGCTGGTTAGAAGAGGAAGAGATAGTTTAATAGTCAGATAAATTCTCCCTTCTCCTCTCAACAATGTCCTAATTCATAAAAAATACTTATTTCTTCTGCCCATCGCTTTGCTGAAATGGTCATATTGGAAAAAGAAACTCTATAGTTTTATTAGAACTCTCTTCTAACAAAAGGCCAATTGGATGAACTGTGGAGAATGGAGGCCACTTTTTAGGCACCTGCTACTTAACTCATTAAAGTTGGGTGCGGCTGTTCCCTCCCCCTGGACTCCTGGGCAACTTCCTGTCTCCATTTTTTCCTGTTCATTGTTGAAAGAGACAGATAGAGCTGCTGACTACTGCTCTATCATGGTGGCTGAATAGTTGTCTGGAAGGCTTTGATCTTGATGCACTTTGAAAGAGGTGGTGAGTTTTGAGAGAGGGATCTCATGCATCGTTGCCTGAAGCAGTGGAAAAGAAGAGGCTTGGTCATCTATCAAAACTCACCATCCTCTGTGAAGGATGAGGAACGGCAATTCTTCTTTCAGCTTGAAATTAGGTTCACTATGACTAAACCATATTTCTATAGGTCCATCAGGTTGGTCTTATAGTCACTGTTTTTCTAAAAAAAAAAAAACCTTCTTAAAATGGCAAAGAGATATATTAGGTAGGCACGTTGCTTTATATTATTCCAAACTCTTACATTGCTTTTATTGAAAAAAGAAATACAGAAATTTCAGTGGCTTTAAAAATGGCATATATGGAATAAATCATGCATTAAATACAATAGAAATAATAACATTAAAATAAACCAGTTTAATTTTATCACTCAAAAGCTTAGTGATCATACAGATATAGTTGTATAATTTTTTGCATAGCAGCAAAGTGCTAGTTTGACCAGTCCCTTCTCTTAGGAATTAGTTTCCATGAACGAATGAAGTAAAGTATATAGTGGTACCTTGGTACTCAACTGCTTTCAAACTCATCAAATTTGGTAGTCAATACATTTCGACATGAACATTTTGTGCTGGTATTCATTGTTTGTTTGATGCACAAGCTTGAACTTCTTGGCATTGGCTGCAATTATTCCTTATGAGAAAACATTGTTTGGTACTCGTTGTTTTTAGTCCTCATCATGCTTCCCTGAACAAATTAACAATGATTACTAGGGTACCACTGTATTTGTCAGTTGTTAGTTTGATTTTTTTTGAAGAAATATAAAGAATAATTATCTCTTCTTCTATTCTTTTCATTTTTTGAGAATGCCACTATACTGACACATATTTCCACTTTGTCACGTAAACACTCATTTTATCTTTAACATGTTAGAATGGAAGATTTCAGCATCTTACCAAAAGATAAAGTAGAAGCACAGGAGAGATGTAAAGATGTTCTACAATTTGGCCACATCTAAATAGCTAATGTCATTGAGGGGTATAGTGACCTAGAGGTAGAGCTCTCTTCTCATAATCAGGAGGCTGTGGGTTTGATCCTATGCGTAGTGGCAGATATTTCTCTCTCTGGGCACAATGAGTAATTGTCTGCTGTGAACTCTGCATAGATATCAGGAAGAGCATCTGGCCAGTAAACACTTGAGTTCCATTCAGTTACCTCAACTCAACCCTGATGCAAGGGATTGCAAGGTTGTTAAAAGAAAAAAATTAGCTAATGTCATTATATAGAGCAGGGATGTCAAACTGCCGGCCCCCGGGCCAGATGCATGCTAGCAAAACCGCACCCACCCCATTACCGGCAATGGAAAAATAGTCACAATATGTCATGACATGTCATGTGATGTTGTGAGTTTGACACTGCTGATATAGAGGAAAGATATATTAACTGATTTTAAGATGTTTGTTCTCCAGCTTCATGTTTATATTTGTACTGAAACTCAAGGAGTCACAAATTAGTGGCAAATGAGGACCCAGATTATTGGGGGCAATATGCAAGTGATGCTTACATGGTAAACTGTGCAGAGAGTGCTGAAATTGCTATGGAGCTGTATACAAGTTGTTGCATTCAAAAATGGAAGAAGACATCGATTCCTGAATAAAATATAGCTATCAAGCTATGAAGCTATTAAGTCAGGCCATCCTAATTACTTCTGTACTTGAGGAGATTTTCTGCCTGGGTATTTCAACAAATAGTGATTTGTTATTAGCAATGTCACTAATAAAATCTATATAGCTTTATAACTTTATAGCTCTTTTTATAATAGAGTGTAGCATTCTGAGGCATTTGCAGTTTTCAAAATTTTGAATCTGATCCCCATCCCCTGAAATTTAAAATATGATATAAAAAGAAAATATGTTGGAAAGAGGACACCAATAAATACATGACTATAAATCATATTAGCATTTTATTGTAATATAATATAAAGAAGATAATATCTTATTTAATAAATAAGACTAGTTTTGGACATCCTAGCCACTATATTTCTGAGTGTAGTTTTCCATTTATGGATCATAGACAAAGACGTCTTCATCCAGAAAAAAGAGTGCACATTTTTCTTGGTTATTGCGTGTTTGTGAAGTTTCTTACATTAAGAGCCCTGGTGGCATAGTGTTAGAAGACAGTATTGCATACAAAGTCTGCCTACAGCCTGGAGTTTGATCTTGACGAGGCTCCAGGTTGGCTCAGCTTTCCAATCTTCTGAGGTCTGTAAATGAGGACCCAGATTGGTAAGGGCAATATGCAAGTAATGCTTACCTGGTAACTGTGCAGAGAGTGCTGAAATTGCTATGGAGCTGTATACAAGTCTAAATGTTGCTTTCAAAAATGGAAGAAGACATCTATTCCTAAATAAAATTCTTTGACCAATCATCTGTTATGTTTTCTTCAGCCAAACTAGGAATTAGGGCAGCATTTACACTGCACTTGAAACCACACTAGTCTTTTTCCTAACTAGCTGCTCTCTGGTATTCAGCTCTGGTCTCAGCATGATAATATAGCACTTGGGCATAAAAATGCAACCTAATAAGCCACCACTTGAGGCCAAGATAGAGAAGACCTCCACAGCCACCATGGATTTCCCCTTAGTGCTTAAGTAGGTGGGCACAAAGGAGACCCAAACACTGCAGAAGACCAGCATGCTGAAGGTGATGAGTTTGGCTTCATTGAAACTGTCAGGCAACTTTCGGGCAAAGAAGGCCACCACGAAGCTGATGAGGGCCAAAAGCCACATGTAGCCCAGCACAACATAAAACATGATCTCTGAGCCTTCGTTGCATTGCACTAAGATCTCATCCAATTGGGAATGCATGTCCAACTCTGGGAAAGGAGGAGAAAGGATCAACCACACAGCACAGATGCTTGCTTGAATAAGTGAGCAAAACACAATGACTGAGACAGACAGCCTTTTCCCGACCCACCACCTCATGCGGTTTCCTGGCTTTGTGGCTATGAAGGCCAGAACCACAGTGATGGTTTTGGCTAACACACAAGATACTGCGATGGAGAAGACAACTCCAAAAACTGCTTGCCGGAGGAGACATGTGACTATCCCTGGGCATCCGAGGAAGAAGAAAGAACAGAGAAAACACAGCAGAAGTGAGAAAAGCAAAGTGCAGGTGATATCCCAATTGTTGGCTTTGACAATGGGAGTATTTTGGTGGCGGATAAATGTCCCCATCACAACAATTGTGATTACAGCAAAAGAAACAGCAAAGCTAGTCAGGATTTCTCCCAGGAATTCTTCGTAGGATAAGTAGGCAATAATTTTGGGAATACATTGATGGTTCTTCTCATTTGGATATTGTTCTTCTGGGCACCTCTCACATTGCTTGGAATCTAAAAACCATAAATACACATTGAATTGATATTAGGTTTTAACAATTATTCCTTGCTGAAACAGTTTTTGGAATCTTCACACATAAAAGTATGGTTGTATTCTGAGCAAGTTTCCATATTACCACTTGAAACTGATAAGTAGAATTGGCTTCATATAAAGAAAATAAACCTCTTTCAAAAATTGTGCCTTAGGAAAATCTTTTTAAAAGTTTATTTAATATGCCATGTTTCTTGAAGATGAGATTATACACCTAAATAAAGAAAAGCTTCTATTTAAAAAAGGAAGAAAGAAAACAAGGCAGGTGAGAGATCCCAATCAATCTATTCTTGTATTTAAAATTATATTTAAAAACCCAAGCTTGATTAGAGAATAATGTATTTTTAAAGAGATATTACCGTAGATCTCTTTTTCTTACCAACCATGGTGGAAATGCTTTCCTCTGAACATTGGACACAGTCATAGCAGCAAACCTGTTTCCCCTCCTTAATTAATTTCCGGTACCCAGGATAGCAACTTTCTACACAGGTGGCAGAAGGTGGTGTCTAATGGGAAAAGGAAGAATAAATAATTAAGAAGAATTATAATCTGGCTTTTACTCAATCAGTCAGCAGTCATTCTCTGTAAATAAATCCTAAAGCAGTCATTTTCTTGTAAGTTCTTTAATGCAAAATTTTGAATTCCTAGAACTTATTGCTAGATTCAGTCAGAATAGAGGTAAAAATCTGAACAGTGTTCTAACTGCTATTGAAAATTTGGATAAAAATCCCTTCACAATCCTTACATCACACATAAGAGAATTTGAAATGTCCTGAAGAGGGCCATGGAAGAATCTCTCACAATCTCTCTCGATTATGGGGTGCCTCAGGGCTCGGTCCTGTCCCCCCTCCTTTTTAACATCTATATGAAACCGCTGGGTGAGATCATTCAGCAACACGGGGTGAGGTATTATCAGTATGCGGATGATACCCAATTGTATATCTTCACCCCGTGTCCTTTCAGTGAAGCAGTCGACGTGATGTGCCGGTGCCTGGAAGATGTGAGGGTCTGGATGGGGGTGAACAGGTTTAGACTCAACTCTGACAAGACTGAGTGGCTCGGGTCTTGCCCCCCAAGGGTCATCCTGATGGTCCATCAATGGTCCTGGGGGGGGTAAACATACCTCCCTCAGTGCAAGTATGCAACTTGGGTGTCCTCCTGGACTCACAGCTAAATTTGGAACAACATCTATCGGCTGTGGCCAGGAGGACCTTTGCCCAGGTTCGCCTGGTGCACCAGGCCTTATTTGGACCGGGAGGCTCTACTCACGGTTACTCATGCCCTTGTCACCTCAAGATTGATTTACTGTAATATGCTCTACATGGGACTACCCTGAAGAACATTCGGAGGCTGCAGTTGGTTCAGAATGCAGCCTCGAGAGCGATTGTCAGTGCACCAAGGTACACCCACGTGTCACCTATCCTCCGCGAGCTGCACTGGCTTCCTGTGGGCCTCCGGATGCAATTCAAGGTGTTGGTTATCACCTTTAAAGCCCTTCATGGCTTAGGACCAGGTTACTTACAGGACCGCATACTGCCGCATATTTCCCAGAGACTGGTGAGGTCCAACAGATTGGGCCTCCTTTAGGTCCCGTCGACCAGACAATGTCGGCTGGCAGGCCCTCGGGGAAGGGCTTTTTCTGTGGTGGCTCCGAAGTGGTGGAATAAACTCCCCCCCGAGATTCGAATTACTCCCACCTTGCCGGCCTTCAAGAAAGCAATTAAAAGTCTCCTGTTCTGGCAGGCTTGTGGTTGATGTCCCAGGGGGGGATGGGACACGATTGGGACATGCTGTATGAATGCACTCATTTTTACTGTTATATTTATTGTTTTAATTTTGTATGCCACCCTAAGTCCCTAGAGATTGGCTGGCATATAATTTTTATTAATAAATAAATAAATAAATAAATAATAAACTTAATGAGCAGTCTTAATTTGAAAAATAATAAGAAATAAACTTATAGGAGAAATGTTGAATTTCTAAGAATTTTGATTGGTAATGACATCCATATTTAGTCTTCCTCACTTCCTTGAGCTGATGGCAAATATATTCCTTCGTAGCATTTGTTGTCCTTTTTCAATTATCTCTGTGTTGCATTGCCATTGGAGAATGGTGTCCTGCTTCTCCATGTATAATAAATGTAGTCACAAATGAAGGCCAATATGTGTGTCCCAGGATAATATTGCAGGATCCAATCTGGGTCAGTCTCTGGGACCCGAGGTTGTATTCCAAGCTTTTGGACTTGTGTTGGAGCCCATCTTCTAGGAATTTCTCTCTAACACAGTATGTGCTGTTCTGTGTGTGGTATTTATAGTGCCTGTGGTAAGTGGCTTTTTAGATGTTGATGGCTGGCTTTTAAGTCATTAACTTGTGCTGCCCAGCCCTCACCTTTTAAGTACTAGGCTAAATGTAAATCATCACTCCTAATGACTGACCAGGGCACCAGGCTTCAATCACTTCCCTGGCTGTTTTTATGTCTGCTTGTCCAACAATCTTAAAAGTTGAAAATTGAATGCAGTGTGAGGCTACCAATGAGTTCGGGGCTCCTCATCTGATGAATGTCAGGAATTCATGCAGGAGAAACAGTCCTGCATGAACTAGAACATCATGTATTTCATAATTACATATCTAAATTCTGGTGCCGCTATGTGGATGAGATTTTTGTCATCATCAAGAGAAATGCACTTAAAGATTTTTGTGCCATTCTGAACTCTATCTTCCCCAACATACAGTTCACAATGGAGGAAGAAACAGCTAGGCAATTACCATTTGAAAACACAGAAGATGGAAGCCTAGAAACCACAGCTAAATGTCTATGGAGATTCTCAGTCATGCAGGTCATTATTATCGCAAATACTTTTTTATGAGACAATAGGACTCTGTTGTTTTTCTTTGAAGACCTTTTGCTTCTCATCCAAGAAAAAGCAATAGTTGCTTGCATAGCTTTATGGGCGGGATTTCTAACTTTTTATTGGGGAATTGTTATGTATGTATCCAGACTTGGTTTCACTCTTGACCATGCCGATACTTTGGAACTAATAAACATGTTCTCTAAGGAAGTTTCAAGCCTTGGAGTTCTGCTTTATTTGTCTCTGTCTCGGGACCATGACAGAATCATTACAGAAACAGTCCCGGGTGAGCTAGAACACCATTCATTTCAGAACTACACACCTAAATTCTGGTGCTGCTACGTGGATGAGGTATTTGTCATCATCAAGAGAAATACACTTACAGATTTTCATACCATACTGAACTCCATCCTCCCTAATATACAGTTCACAATGAAGGAAAAACAACTAGGCATTTGCGATTTTTTGATGTACTTGTAAACACAGAAGATGGAAGCCTAGAAACTAGAGTTAAATGTTTATGGAGATTCTCAGTTATCCAGGTCATGGTTATCCCAAATATGCTTTTATACAAGGCAACTGGACTTTGTCATTTTTCTTTGAAGACGTTTCACTTCTCATCCAAGAAGCTTCTTCAGCTCTCGGATGAGAAGTGAAATGTCTTCAAAGAAAAACAAGAAACTCCAGTTGTTGCATGAAAAAGCAACTTTGGGATACCTAGAAACCATAGTTTATCACAAGGCCACCAATGTTCCACAATTCTGAATTTCAACAGCAACCATCCACTGTCACACAAAAAGAGTTGCATCAGAACACTATATGGCAAGGTGAAAAGTCACTGGAATACCCAGCAAGACAAACAGCTGGAGAGCAGATACCTACAATTCAAGCAGAATGGGTGCCCACAATCATTTGTCGTAAGATGTCTGTGGAACACGGTGGGGAGAGAAGGGAAGTTATAAGACCAACCACATGTAACAGCCTGACATATATCCAAAGCATTTCACAAGCGGTAGAATGCAGCTTCTAAGATGTACAAGGGGGCATTCCCACTGCAGATGCTACCATACGAGAACAAGTTATCCAAATCAGGAAAGTAAATGCAGGTGTGGTGAGCGCAAGACTTGGGGTGATGGTCAGCTTTGGTAGATGTCCAATTAATCTCTCCTATTCTGTGATGAGCAATAAAATAGGATAGCACATTAGTCCAATCTTGCCTGTATTTCAAAATGCATAGTATCAGTGCCTGCTGAAAAGCTATTCACTTCTGTAAAGCAGTAAATTTACTATACTTTTTCAAAGCACATCACTTGAAAAAACCACTATATCAAAATGGCCAGCCGCTGTCCCCAGATTTTTGAATTGGTTATGGGAAGGAAAAATTGTGAGTGGCAAGAGAAACATGCCTTACAAAACTCCAGGGAGATGGGATGTGTAGGTTAGGCTGAAGTGGTAAATAGATGTGCTGACCTTTTTCATGCTTTGGTTCTGAAACTGATTCAACCATTGACTAAACAGTCAGATAAACCCATTAGTGGGAAAGTCCTCTGGACCCAGATGGTCCATAACCCCAGCCAGCAAAGCTCTCTTTCCACACAATCTGAAAGTATAATGTAGAATTGAGAATTGTTTCATTTTTCCAGGATACAAAATTGTTCTAATATCATTAGATTTCAAATGACCTTGGAACCACTGTGAGTTTACTTGTTTAAAATTCCAGAAATTGAGAAAATATCACCATTTTAGTTGGTTTTTTATAATCCACCTGCTTAAATTTGGGATTCCATACAATGGCAGTTGTATTAATGGTGAGGTCTTCCTTCTGAGAACTCTGAGGTTCAATATGTCCAACTTGGACCTTCTGAAAGGATCGATTGGGGAAAGTAATCAAGTTGATGATATCGTATGCTGCTGCCAGGTTTCCATTCTCATTGAAAGCTATTTCTTCCCCAGCACTATTGTTGAAATGGAGGTTTTTCAGAAATAAACGAAGCTAAAAGATAAGAGAGATAAAGGAGAAATTAATGCTAATAGTAGGCAATAGAATTTACAATACTATGCTGTGATTTACCAAATGGTGCTGAGCTTGATTTTTAATGAACTTCCTAACATTTTAGTTAATATTTTTTTATGTTCAAATGCATAATTCTACTTTGCAGGAATATGTTCATATTTTTTAAGTTTAAGTAATTAATATAGATTTTGTCAGATAGATTGCTCTTCCAAATTTTGCATTTCATGAGAGACAAAAATTATTGCTAAGAAATATAATAGAAAAAAAGGAATATTAAAATAATAGAATTGGATATGGTGGAATATTCAAAGAATTTTTAGAAGGAGGGTAAAATTTACCCCACAATTGTTTTTATTAGGTATTGTTACAGATTGTGATACTAAAGATATCACATTGATGTTAAATTTAATCACAGCTGCCAGGTTGTTAGTAGCACAATGTTGGAAGAAGGAATCTCTGCCTACCTTGCAAGAGTGGCTTTTTAAAGTTTCTTATCTGGCGGAAATGGCAAAGATTTCGGCTTTCCTGAAGGATCAATCTCAAGAGAAGTATGTTGTGGTATGGAGGAAATGGATAGATTTTATACAACACAAGATGGATATTAAAAAATATTATTTAGCTTTTTAATAAC